CTATCTCTCTCTCTGTCAAATAAATAAATAAAATCTTCAAAAAAAAAAAAAAAAAGAAATTTAACATAAGGAAATAATGCACCCAAAAGTGTATATGTGAGGATATTAATTTTCATCAATATTTATGACTATCCTTAAAAAACTGACAACAGTCTAAGTGTCCAAAAGTAAAGAAAAAGTTGAGTGAATTATGGTACACTTAAATAAGTAATCCATATAGCATGAAAACTTATGTTGCAGAATTTTTTCACAATGTTTTTGATATATCATGAAATGAGAAGTCAGACAGACTATATAAACAGCATGTGTGTAATGCCATTCTTTAAAAATATAAATCTCTATCTACGTGTGTGGAACAATATTAGAAGGACTAACAGTTAACATTGGGCATGGTGGGTTTACAGGTGGCATTTCTTTGCTTGTTGATATAATGGGATATCAAATAAGACTCTTACTGTTGACAAGAGGTGTTAGCTCATGCCACAGTGACCCAAAATAACACCCTACATGCTCCATACCCTGACATTCCATGAAGGATGGCTAAAAATTCATGCTGGAAATAGAGAAGGCCCTTGATGGACGGCAAGGTGCTCAGTGTGTGTGGCTTGATCACAGCACATTCCCCGCCCCAGAAGGAAAAGAGGAAGATGATTCCGGCTCACCTCAAACCAAGTAAGAGGCATTTCAAGAGGACCACTTAGGACATAGAGTCTGAATCTGATTCACACCTGAAGAATCTAAAAATCAAAGTTGGCACCTGCTGCACTATTACAGGAATGCTAAGAGATGGGGTTGCTTTGGGGGTACCAGCCCCACAAAAGAGAATCCATGTGGGGGTTACCTTAAAAGGGGGAGGGGGCATAAGCATGGGAAGGAGAACAAGGGAACTCTTTGAGGTGACAAAAATAGTCTTCATCTCAACCATGGTCATGGTTACATAGGCATAGAAATTTGTCAAAACTCACCAAAATGTATACGCTTAGACCAAATGCATTTTAGCGTAGGTGAATTTCACCTCAATCTGTCAGGTTGATTTTTTTTTTTAAGGGAATGGCTAGAAAAACACCAAGAACCCAAGACTGCATCCAGGGACGTGGCAAAGAAACCATTGGTGAAGCCAGTTTAACAAGCAGTGGTACATAGCCAAACTGTGGAAAGAGCCAAGATGTCCATCAACAGATGAATGGATAAAGAACATGTGGTGTATCACTGATATGAGGAATTCTTAATCGCAGGAAACAAACTGAGGGTTGCTGGAGTGGGGGGTGGGGTGGGAGGGAGAGGTGACTGGGTAATAGACACTGGGGAGGGTATGTGCTCTGGTAAGCGCTGTGAATTGTGCAAGACTGTTGAATCTCAAATCTGTACCTCTGAAAGACATGTATCATATGATCTCACTGATATGA